CCAAGTGGCCAAGTGAAAGAAATTACAACCAGGATAACGGCAGCTAGAAATGTATTCTTTCGTCTGACAAAATCTCCATGGAATCGCCGCTAAATCACTATCGAGGAAGTTCACAATCTTGCTGCAGAGTGCACCATCTAGTTGTGGCTGCGAAATATGATTAAAGTGAAAGATTAAAAAAGATAAGAAACTACTCATCTTTGACCATTCATACCTAAGACCATTCATTTATTTTATATACTCGCCAGATGGATAAAATCAACTTTGCACAGACATTATCTGAATTCAAAGCTACTGACCTTGTTCTTCGCCACTCATCCCAAGAAGAGACCATATTTCGCTAATTGCTGAATCTTGTGATGGATATTATCAGAAGCGAGTAGAATCAATCAAGACCTAGATTGATACAATCAGAAAAGAATTTAAATGTGAAGATGTTCCAGCGACACATGGGCTAAAATGGCGGAAAAGAGTATTGCTTCAGTTATTCTCAGCTAAAGCATCGGATCAAGGAAACGCATTACCCATGCAGCCAGCGAAACCATCTTTAAACTAGGTGCGAGTTGTGAAAAGAATACACTTACACTCGATAAGCAGCTGCAATGTAAATTCTTATACCTTGGATAACTCGAAAATTTTAAAAAATTAACCTTTTTTCACCATTCTTTTGATTTTTTTCCTTTTGTTTTTCTTTTCTCATCTTTTTCAATATTTTCTGTTTTTAATTTGATCATCCATCTATTCTTTAATATCCTTAATGAAATGAAGTGTAAATTCTTTCATTCAACAATAAGATAAGAATTAAATGCTCAGTCGAGTGCGAGAACAGAATTTTATTATTCCTAAAATTTTTCTTTTTTTCTTTTTTAAACTGCAATTTTTTCAAAAATTTATCATTATTTATTTAAATTACGAAAGCATTCATGGATGAAAAATTGTTTTACGCTTACATATGAATTCAATATAATTTATTCGACGCCATTTCAATTCATCAAATTTTACAAAAATTTTTTATAATTTAGTGACATTTACGATAAATAGGCTTATTGCAACAAATAAAATCGGAAACCGCTGAACTATCGCAAAATGCTTCCATTATTAAAGATTCAATGATGGGACAGCTTTTTCGAATAAATTAATGAAGATTCGTCATAAAACCTAGAAAATTTCTTTTCTTTTTTACTCTTTATTTTTTTACTTTTTTTAAACCGATTAATCGATTTTTGCTTATTTTTACTAAAATAGTATAAATACGATTGGTTCATAATATTATAATCTCTTGTACTAGTTCCCACCATTTCTTGTTTGGCAACTACCATTGTTTGCTAGGGCAAGATTATTGCGCCAAAAAACTAATTGGAAGAAATAGGTGCCAGTGAGTTTTTTCAGGAGCATTCACCACTGTTGATTAAACAGGCTCTGCTGACTTATCGTACTAGACAAATATGCCCTTGACGATAGAAATACAGAGTCACCAGAAACCATCAACCGGATTTTTTAAAGAACAAGTTCACTCCCGCCAAGAATAGAGCCTCAGAATCAGTGAGTAACAACCAATTGAGCCATTCTACTTTCCTTTGCTTTCTCCCTTAGGCGAAGAATCGTCGTGAGTCGACGGGATTCAAACACAAAGCTCGATGCTCGGTGACAACGCCATTAATGTCTCAAAAATATAATTAAACTATGTTTGACTATGATATTACTTTTTTAAACAATAGGTACATTATTTATTAAATATTGTTGGCTGACAAGAACAAAAGGGTACTAAAAAGATTCAAGTGCAATTCATGGTTTTTTCCACCTTTAATCAAATCTTTTTAAACAACAAATTCGTTTTTAAGTTAAGCTTTTATCTGATTTGAGGTAATATGAATGATCCGATTAATTAGTAATTAGTAATTAGAGTAATTCGTTGGATGAGATTAGTTTGCATGCATATTTTCACCTTTAACGTCAATGCTAAAATTGTTCCCTCAGTGCAAAATATAATTTAAAATCTTCTGAATCATATTTCTTTAGTAATGAAAACGTTAATAGCGAAATATATATTAGATTTTGGCTTTATTGCTGCAGAAAACCTAAATTTTGAAAGCATTTTTTTCGAAGTTTTTCCAAAAAAAAAAAAGTTTATTTTTATTATAACAAAAATGCATACAAAAAATTTTGTAAGTGATTTTAGATTTTCGAAAACATTTTAAAATAATTAAAATAAAACGAAATTGGTAAAATAATGAGAACTTTTTATAATGAAACATTTTTATTAAAATAACTAAGAATTTAGCAACTTGGGATTCGCTGCTGAACTAATTTTTTTATAACAAATAAAGTATAAAATGATTTCGAAAAACTCTCTAAATTTTATTGAATCGAAAATTGAAAAAAAAATATTTTAAAATATATAAAATATATTATATATTATTATATATATTATTATATATATTATATAATTATAATATATAAAATATATAAAATATATTATATATATTAAAATATATAAAATATATTATATATTATTATATATATTATTATATAATATATATTATATAATTTATTATATATATTATTATATATAATAATATATAATATAATAATATTATATATTATTATATATTTTAAATAATCGAAATATTTTTTTAGCTAAAATAAAACCACAAAAATTTCAGAAAGTTCAATCGATAGAAAAATTTTTTCGAAAAATTTTTCATTTCTCTAATTATTTCGCGAGAATAATTTTTCGTCGTTATTAACCAATTTTTTAAAAAGCATCATTTTCCGTAAAAAAAGCTATAATTTTATCATTTTTTCAAATTCTTTGCTATTCTTTTAAAATTGAAATCAGATTTTTTATTCAAAAAATTTTGATAATGAAATAGGTGATTTGATGAATTTTTGTGCTTTCACAAAGTAACTTATCAATTTGATCATTTCTTAAATTTGAAGGAAAATTTTGGATTAAAATTTGGATTTTTTTCAAAATCTTTTTATGACCATTTTCATTTTCATAAAATTTTTCGTTAACTTTTTTTATTTAATTTTAAAACTATCCTTTGCTTTCAATTTTTCAATTTTTTTCATTATTTTCCCAATTTTAAAATTGTTTTACTAATTGATCGATTTTTCCATAAACGTAATTTCATTAAAATTTGTTTATAGCCTAATAGATGAAAATAAACGATTCTAATACGGATTTAATAAAACCTAATGTAAAACCGGTTCCGAGCTTTGGTCTCGAAGAGCTTGACTGATTGCAGCCGTCACGAATTTGAATGGAATAATCCATTAAATTCCGATCCTAGCCGCCACAAAACTTCATTAATACCGCGTTGAGCCACTTATTCTTTGCCATAGCCTATTAGAAATCCTTTCTTTAGCCTCCTTATAACATCTCAAATATCTTCTCAGATCTCTTTATTGTTTTTGACATTATTTTTCCGTGATTTGCAACAAGAATCCATCATGAATTTCATTCATTAACTAAAGAAAACTAAAACAAATGATGGAAGTTTATTCTCTCTCAATTATTTCTTTGAGTTCGGGCATTATTTAGTTTTCGCACTAATTCATAAAATCTTCCAACTTATTTTATTGAACTTTGCTAAATTTTAACTTCAAATAGTAATTAATAATCTTCCTTAGGCATATCTCATTTCAACAGAATTGTCGAAGATTAAGAAGCACTTTTGGCTGAATATATTTTCTTATAATTTGTAGTGGCGAGCGAGTGGATTTCGTCCAACATAATGAACAGTTATACCACTTTAATTTTTCTTAAATCTCTTTAAAATGGTCCATGAAGACTTTCGCCAGAATTTTTCGAAACAAATCATTTTTCGAAAAATTTCACTAATTTCGAATTGATTTGTTCAAAAAGTATTGATGAGAAATAAATACGAAAAAAACTGAAATTTGTGCTATAAACTGTAAATTGTTTCAGTATTTCTTGCTTAATTACTTCATATTGCTTGTAATATTTTATTTATTTTCAATGTGCAAATTTCGTCAATAATAAAATTCATGTTGCGTTTTGTATCGAACCATAATAACCATTTTTGTAAGGTTGGACTTTTCGTAATTTTACGTTCGTTTGATAAACGATACCGCACTCTCTGCTGCAAATGATTTCTTATATGTTCGTTCATAGTTTCGTTCTTTTTTGATGTTTTTAACATAATATTATATTGAAACGATAAGAAATCTGCAACGTAAAATTCTACTTCTATCGTATTTATCTTCAAAAATCCTGTTTTCAATTCATCTAATGTTTGTTTTGCTTGGCTTCATTAACTACTAAAAAAACCATTTAAAGAATAAATGGACAATTGGATTTGTAACACCACTTCAACTTCATTTTTCATAAAAACGTTTATTTAACAATCAATCGATGCTAAACGACCTCAACTGAAGTAACAAACCGCTCACTCTCAGCTCTCAGTTTCTTTCAGCCATTATTTATAGTAAACATTGAAAGATTTAAATTTAATTTAAGATTTAAGATTTAAATTTAAGATAAGATTTTAATTTAAGATTTAAATCTTTTCGCGCATTTGAGTTTAAAATTATTTATATAGATTTATATATATATAAATTATTTTATTATATTATATTTATAAATTATATTTATTAAATTATATTTATAAATTAAATTTAAATATAAATTATATTTAAATTTAATTTATCAGAAATGTAAATATTATTCATATTTTACTACATTATTTATCAAAATAGTGAGCATAATTCTTTCCCTTACTTTTTGCACACGTTAATTTTCAAACTGTAATACACTTATTATTTTGCTTTATAATTTGATGATATCCACATATTTGCAGATTTTAACAAATGTCAGCCAACAGTACAAATAGAATTAATATAGAATGTGTAGAACTTCCACAAATTTTTTTGGTGAATATTTCATCAGCATTGTCATTCGGTTGTCATTCTTATTTCTTTTTTACAATATTGAAGACATTCCAGTATTATCACTAAAAATTTAGGAATTTAAAATGATTTTGGTCGGTTGTATTGGCACAGTAATTGCAACAATAAGTTTTTTCGAAAACGTTTTGTTATTTTATGTTTTTGCACATTCAAGAATATTGCGTAAACGCAGTCTATTGTATTTAACGTGTTTAAGTGTGTGTGATATATTTATCAGTATTTCGTATATCGGTATCATGTCGATACAGGTGACTTTTCTATATGCACACAAACGTAAAATCTCATCAATTCATATTTTATAATTTATAATTTATAGAATTTATATAAATAGTTAACATAGCAGTCTCAGTCTCCCAGTCTCGGCTTAGCGAATAAGATGGCTTAGTCATTTTGTAAGGATATTAATGGAAATTGCTGAAAACAACTCTCTTCATGGATTGGTTCTTCTTTCAACAGCATTCATCATTTTTGGTTTAGCTGATCTCGCTTCATCACAGAATTATTTTGGATATAAAAGTGCAGATTTTACCTTTAAAAGGTTCATCCTCTGCTAAGAGTTAAAAATCAAACTCGTGACACGAAAATAAATAATTTGACTATAAACATTGCTTTTAAATTCGAATAAAATTTTTTTCAGGTATACGCCGATTATTATCATTCATTCGCATTATTTAAGCTATGGCATGATTATTTATGTGTAACATTCGCTATATCACATATAACAATATGTAGTGCATCGTTCTTAATCATAGCTGCCACTTTTGAAAGATATCTTCAAATGAATGTTTCCAATCGGTTAATTTTTTTTGTTGAATTTTTCCTAATTCACACGGCTGAATTACAGGAATTAACTCAATTTATGTCTCCAAATCGTATTTTATGTTTGTTTTTGGCTTGGCAAGGCTTAGAAGGCTTACAGAACAAAAACTTACCTACATTTGCAAACCACTCGCATGCAAAATACAATTTGAAATTCAAAAGAATAATTGCATGAAACTTTTTTTTTTACTAAATCTCACCATTTTATGAAAATTGATAATTTAAGATGTGCAGTATTATTTCGTTTTATTAAGAATCACCAAAAAGGAGTTGTTATTATTGCATTTTTCTTAGGAATTATATTCCGTGGAACAATATTTTTTGAGATACAGGTAATACTTTTAAAAAATTTGAATTTCACGAAAAATTATTCCCTTTCGCGTCAATTTTTCAAAAATTCCTGGCGCAAAAAATTAGTTATTGACTGTTTGTTATAATATAAGAAATAAAATATAATATTGAAATATGGAAAAAATAAAAATCGTTTATCAGGCCAAAAAATTTTGTCTAAATTGGAAGTTTTGGATAGCATTCACCCCTCTTTTTCCCTTCCCATTCATCATTTCTGCTTTGGTTTACTCCACTAGCTACTGGATGACAAGCAGCACTCGGGTTTTACTTTAACACGTTTATTAAGAGACAAGTGGTACTTGGTCTTGATTGAAGTAATGCAGCATTTTGGTCACTCTATTCCTTACTTCAGTTTCACCAATTGCTAATGAATTCAAGCAGTGAAAATTTTTATTACCAGATATTTTATATCGAGGGATGTGAAGGATTTGCAAGCATGGGTGTCCGGCTAACTGAGCTCGCTCGAAATCAATATTTCGATGGCATTTGGAGATTTTGGGTGCGAAGAATCGCCACTGTGTTTGTACCATTTTTCGTACTTGCATACTGTAATGCCGCTATCGTATACAAATTGCATAAAAGTAATCGTGAGCAAGTTATTAAGTCATTTGCCTTCTGTCCTTTGATGGGATCACGGTAATATTTCTCTTAATTAAGATAAAAATAAACTGTTAAGCCTATTATCATTATTACTGTTATTAAGCTCATTATTGCACAGATAAGAGATATATGAAAAAACTGCCTAGAATACTCGCATTATTATTTAAAATTATTAAAAAATTCTCATATTTTTTCACAAATTCAAAAAATGGGAATAATAAATCTTTGGATAGCTTCAATAAAAAACGAAATTTTAAATCTGAATTTGATTTACAATAGATAAATTTTATTGTAAAATTTTATCACCAATGTTCATTTAAATCATTTTTAGCAAAAAATATGAGAAGAAAAATATGTATAATAATTTTTACTAGAATACAATTAAATCAATGCTGCTCGTTTTCTTCATTCTATTTCTTTTCAACCAGTGAATATATTTTTTGATTTTATTGAAAGGCAATCTTACTTTACTATTTCTTTTATTAATGAATATATATCTTATCAGTTGGCTAGAAGAATTTTTTCTTACCTTTTTTTTCCATATTTTGCAGGTAAAAAAAAATAATTTAAAAAATTTAGTGCAAATATATGTCAAGAAAAAACACGCTTAAGAACTGCAACTAGAATGCTAATAATGGTTGTTACATGTTATTTAATTGCCAATATAATTGATGTTTTTATCGCTTCATGGGAATATATTGACGGAGAATCGCTGAGAAATTTTGGAGAATTTTATACAATTGCAACTGATACGTCTTCATTATTATCAGTCTTATCAGCCAGCTTGAGGCTACCTATATATATTGCTAATGATGAGGTTATACGTCATGAAGTAATAATCATTTATTTATTACAAGGATAGGAATTTCATGTATCGTGGTTTTTCACAAATTTTTTAATGTTAGCATATCATAAAACTATGAAACTATAGTTATAATTATTTTATCTTACTACAATTATCCAGATATTTATTGATCAAAATTAGCTATTTATACCTATAATGCTCATACAGATTCGCATTTTACGTTAAAGATAAGAAAATAAGGCAAGCATTTCATGGCGACTCAACGATTCTTCCAGCGATTTAATCATCTTTTTTAACTCATATTTGATATTTATATTTATTATATTTATATTTACATATTACATATTTATGAATTGAGACATTAAAAAAGATAATAGAAAAATTTCTTAATTATAAAATTGCTAATTTTAAATTGTTAATTTTTTTCTATCTCCTAACAGCATTCGCTATTTCTGACTTGGCTGATTTAAGAGATGCGACGTTTCTGCATGATCCTGGAAGTGCGTAGTTCTCATGAGCGTTCTGACCGGTTCTAACCAGAGTAATTTTTTCATTCTTTATATATTTAGATATATAAAACAATATGCGAATGCGGACGAAATCCATCTAGTTTATTGAAGAAAACAAAAAATTGTACATATCAATTTAATATACCGAAACAATCGGTCATGAGCGATATAAATTGCATGGAAATCGTATTGAATGAGAAATCAAATATCATTAAAAATATTCGTCCTGGAAATGGTAAAAATTTAACTTTTACTTGGTCTTTCACGTTTTTTTTTCCTTTTGGCTTTTTCAGAATTTATTAAAACTATTTATATGACCCAGTCAATTGATGCTTGATTCACGCTTTAAATCAAAGCCATCAACGAATTTCAGTTCAAACGGAATTCAAAAAAAAACACTACGTATTATGAATTCTATTTTCATAAAAGACGTATCAAAAAAGTTGTTGAAATGGTTGCTTAAACATGCAAAATTCATAAATTCGTTGGCTTTAAAAGTGATTTTTGAGAAGTTACTTTAATAATAAGTTTATCAAATTGCGTGAATTATTCGGAATTATCTGCTGTTGGACAAAAAAGCGATAAGGCCTATCGTCGCATTGCATTGCTATTCCAAAGTTAATTAATATATAGTATTTTAATGAAATTTATTTTATTTCTATTTCATAATTCTATTATTTATGCATTTCGATGCTTATATATTTTTAAGTCCAATCACGTAGAATGAATTAAATAAACAAAAATTTTTATTTTCAAGCAATCATGGAAAAGTAATTGGTATTAGAATTATTAAATATTATTAGAATTATTAAGAATTATTAAAAATCGTTGATTCTAACGCTTAATCAACGAAAAAAGTAGATAATAAAAACAACTGATTTCGCAGAACAAATGACATAAAAATAAATCGAAGCCATAATCGAAAAAAAAAGAATTTCGTACATACAAATCACAGCATTCCTCTAGGCATTGTATATTATACGATAATACAACATATTTGCTATAACATTATCAATTATGGAATACTTAACTACAAGCCAAAAGAAAAAATCAAAATTTTCTTGGAAGAAAATAAAAACATCTGTGAAAAACAAAAAAAAATTTTGTGATAACTAAAAGCAATTTGTGCTTTGGCAGTGAATAATAATTCTTTTAATTGGACAATATCGAATATTTTTTTCGATATATCCATTCGTTGCAAAAAATAATCGTTTATTTTCTGTTTATTTTATTTTAAAATTTATTTTAAAATTTATTCACCTGCACGTTATCAAATAATATTTATACAATATAATGAACGAATGATGCTAAATGATAAATGGGCATATGCGAAGGCTTTTAAAAGGATTCTATATTTTATAAAGAAAATCAGAAAATTAAAAAATTTAATTGCAAAATATAGATACAGAAATTTGGCGATGATATTCTAAAAAATTATTCAAATGGTATGCAAAAATCAGAACTTTTAGAATAATTTAATTTAAAATCATCGAAAAATATTAATTTTTCAAAATTAATTTTTTTTTTCAGAAAAGAAAATAAACAAAATAAATTTTTTTAAATTTTTAACATTTTTTAGGCAATATTAATGAAAAATTAATGAAACGATGAGGTGAACATTGTTAATTAATTAAACCTATTTTTTAAAGAGAGAAAAACTATCTTAAGAGACTATTGCATTTATTATCAAAAAAATTATTAGATTATCCCCCATAAAATGTTTATAAAAAAGCATTTCCTTGGAGATTATTATCATTGAATTATATATATATATAACGAAAAATAAATTATTATGGAATCATATTAAATCATCGGTTCATCGATCTAATACTTGTGATCTAATATTAAGGTAGATGAATTTTATTTTTGGCAAATATAATACGGCCTTTTTGAACTTCATAGAAGTTCATTCATGCATATAATAATATATTTGAATTAAATAATGAAAAATATCCCGCACTAATAAAAAATTTCTTTTGAGCTGTGTACAAAATTCTACAGAATAGTTCGTCGACGCATCATCGTATTATATTTAATTGGACCTTGTGGAATGAGTCCCTGAAAGAAAAGTTAGTGCTTAAAAGCAAGAAATGAATGAAGTTGCAGAGGATTATATGAAATGGAAAAACATAAAAAACTACTCGCTCTGAAAAAATAAAAAAATTAAAGTATGTCTGCATGCAAACATATGCAATATTCATGCATGTCAGTTTGTTGGAAATCATTTCCGAAAAATCAGCTCATGGTCTTGTTCAATGTTCGCTTTAACGAACTTTTTTGTCCTTCTCTTTGACGTGCCAGTTGTAATTTACGCTGACTCGCTCTGAGACGATCTGCTGATGATAAAGTCAGTGAATTCAAATGTGCAGCACTAGTATTTGACTGAAAAGCTCGAATAACACGCATCTGCAAACCAAAGTTACATAACTACAGAAAGATTTCTAAAATAAAAGTCAAACAAAAACTATGAATATAAGTAAAAAATAGAAAAAACCATAAAATTAAAGAAAAATATAAAACCAAAATGCATTCAATAAATTAAAAACAAATTAAATTTCTCGCATTCAGCTAAATTCAACATCGAAACCAAAAATTTGCGAGAGAAATCATTCATTGCCACTTTTAAACTAATAGCACCACAATTTCAAACCGAATGCTAAATAAACCGAATGCCGAATACTAAATTTAATGAATGCTAAATATCAATGCACGCAAAAGAAAATAACCGATTAAAGTCTTAAAATTTAAATTTAAATTTAAAAGAAATTTAATTTAAAATTTAAATTTAAACGAATGGCGAATAAAGGCAAAGTTGGCTTTGAAAAAAAGCCTAAAATATTTTTATGCAACGTTCACAAATATTTTGAACAAAATTAGCGCGTTTTCTTACAAGCACAGCTACTGCAAATCGCATAATAATTGCCAAAATATTTCATTGTAGCGAAAGCAAATAACGACTACTTTTTGCTTACTTGCAGTAAATTTCCTTATCAGAAAGTAATTATTTTGCAGCGAAATTATTTTAAAAGAAATAAAATATTGAATTCTTCGAAAAAAAAGTGAAATTTCTTCAATTTTAAAGATTTCTCTTCATAAAATTTCCAATCGTTTTTAATTCCTTTTTCTAGCAGCAAAATTAAAATTTTTTATTAAAAAATTTCCCGTTTTCTCGTTATCGAATATAGTGCGAAAAAACTTCAAGCTTTTGTACTCTAAAAGGTTTGCCATAACTAAAAAAATGAAACTTTGTTAATTCACTGTAAATATTATGAATTTCCTTGTTGCATGAGTTAAATCCAATGATAAGCAAACCTGTGTTTGCAGCCTTGTTAAGCCGAGTAACCATAGCAGTTGGCCAGGTCGTTTCTGTTCTTCTCCTGGTATTCCTTTAACGAAACCTTCAGTTGTCTCGTATTCTCCAGTGATAAGTATTGAAGTTGGTTTAATTTCGCCTCTGCCGAATGTGAAGAACTTTGGCAAGATTTTACTCGGAATCGTAGCAAGAATCTATAAGAAATTTCCTCAGATTATTCATTTCTTCAAATATTATGAATAGAACGAATAAAATTTTTAATTTTTCAAAAAGAATTTCTTAAATTAATATTAACATATCTTCATTAAAACATAAAAAATAAAAAAAATTATTAATAAATATTCTGATGACCTGTCCCCAAATAAGTGTTCCCATTGCACAAAGAACACAAAAAGCCCAATGAATTTCATTCAAAGGGGCAGTTGAAACCCATGCACCACCAAATTGAACAATAAGTATCTGTGAGATTAACGTTAATATCCATATAACACAAAATATTGGATTTGTAAAAAGACCCTGAAATATTTTAAATGCAGTAAAATTGTAAAGACAAATAGGTTTAAAAGAGGGAGCGAAAAGATCTTAGGATAAGGCTGCTATGAATATGCAAAGAAGAAAAGGGAAAAAAGTATTATGAAGAATATTACGAGAATTATTGAATTTCAAATTTAGAATCTTAATAAACGTACTTTAAAAACATTTCTCTCGCCATGAACTTTTCTCGAATTGATTTCATTAACAAGAGTCATCAGCACAAAAACATTAAAAATAATAGTAAAATGTCTCGAAGGTGGTGAATTCAGTGGTGCCCATCGACCATTGTCCACTTCTGGTATAAATTTGTCACCTGGAAGCCAGGAATCACCTCAGAATCTCCTACATATTTACCTTTGAATGTAAAGTCAAAATAATGACGAAAACAATATAATCTCACCCCAAAATAAAATTAAAAATAATATTATTAATTGATAAATAGCATGACCGGCAATATTTTTAATCATTGTTCTTGATATTAAAGATTTTGTGCGACCGTAAGGTTTACGTTTTAGAAGATCTTCTGTCGGCATTTCAGTTGCAAGAGCTAAAGAAGCCAAAGTATCCATTATCAAATTAACCCATAACATTTGCACTGCCTATAAAATCAATTTTTTAGAAAAAATAAAAGATTCCACCTTGTTGCTGGAACACAAAATACATATGCTAAAACTGCAGACTCAATAATATAATAACATCTAATAGCAGTGGTTCTTTGCGTTGCAGCAATTTTTTTACAAGGGGATTTAAATAATGTCTTGACGAAGTCAGTGGTGCCCATCGATTATTATTCTCAACGTAGACTGCTTATATTTGTTTATTAGATTTTTATATTTATTTTGTATATATATATATATATAAAATATTTATCCTTTTTTTAAATTGTGGCACTAGAAAACTCTCTAACAAAGGCAAATTTATATGGATTTCAGGCTAATTTAATCATGATTTTTGATTTTCGAATTATGGTGTTATGATATGATAATGTTTGAAATTGGTTCCGATATATATATATATATATATATATATGTAAATGGATCTTTCTAGACCTTAAATAATTACTATAATAAACGCTGACAATACATATTTTTGCTCCTATTAAAAAAGAACGATAAATGTTTGAATTTATTAGAAATATGAAATTTAACCACATGAGAAATTTTTAAGGCATTATAAATAGGATTAGGCCAAACCGAGATAACAAACGTTTTCCGAAACTTAAAATCATGAGTCATCTAATCTCTCAATCGTCTAAAAAATGACTACTAATAACTAATTCTTATCTTAAAAATCTTATCTTATGTAAAAATCTTGAATACAATCATGAGAAAGTTGTACATGCAGCGTTTTTTACCTATATGCAAATTTCCCTTGTAGCTGTGAGAATGTCAATTTGTAAAGGTTATTCACCTGGTTGAAAAAAAATACACTTACTCTTTACACTTATATAAGCAATAAGGAGTGATACCAAGAGTTAGTGATCATCTTCTGCTTTATGCGTGAAGTCAGTTTTGACAACACGTCCTTCTTTCTATTTTTCAATTCGCTATGTTAATATCTACGCATTACTTCGCACGCCGTTCTATTCTATTATATTGGTATTTGGGCAAAAACCTACAACTTTACATTCTGTACACTAGCTATACATTCTAAGTCTAATTCGAAAGACCATCGACGAGTACGTAAGTCAGACTCCTTTCAGACATTTTCTCTTTCTGAATTAACAAAACTTTTCACGACATACATCTTTATTTTATCATTGTTTTATATTATTTGTTTATTTAATGGTTTTGGCTATTAAGAACTAATAAATTTTGTTTCCTTACGAAAAGCATCGATAATTAATCATTAATTGATAAGAAGGATGATCGACAATATTCTTTTCTGTTGCGATATACAGTAAATATTGTTCACTATTTTATTACTATTTTATACAATAATTTTACATACGCATAATATCGATACACAATGCAGTGCCTAAAATCTTATTTTGTTCTCCAGTTTTAATGCGTAAGTAAGAGTGCCAGCCGGACTTTTCAATAAAAGGGGCATGAATTGAGTCACAAATTCTCAAAACCATAATCTGAATCACTGCTCACTAGACTGCCTTCTCAACACAGACATAATATGTAGTATTTATTGTATATCGAGCTAAATATGAAAATTTGGCCAACAAGTTTCATTTCATAATTTCACAAAAAAATGTTGACCAACCTATGAATATATAAAAAAACTTTGAAAAAGAGTATTTAACCTTTAAAGGCGAATCATTTATTGCACAGGCACCAATAAATGCGATAGTCACCGCAACAACATTAACTGTTAATTGAAACTGAAGGAATTTCGATATTGAATCATAAACATTTCTACCCCACATTACGGCTTTAACAATTGACGTAAAATTATCATCAGTTAATATAATATCGGAAGCCTCTTTTGCAACATCTGTACCAGCGATTCCCTTGAAATAAAGCTGTTGAAATGGATTTCTTGAAAAAAAATGAAAAAGTTGAAATAAAAAAATGAGAAAAAACTGAATTTGCCAAAATTCATTCTAAAAGCTTCCTCAATTTATCGAAATTTAAATCACGATTACCATTCAAAACAAATCAACTTACCATTGCAAAGCCCACATCAGCTTTTTTTAATGCTGGCGCATCATTCGTTCCATCGCCTGTTACTGCAACTACTTCTCTGTAATTTTTGGATATATAGCAGAATAGCAGAACTGACTATAAGACTGTTGGACTGTTATATTACGAGCGTTGATAGCATCAGTGACATTAAATCAATTTATTTCAACAAAACTATCAAAACGTCTTTATATACCTGTTTTTCGAATATTTGCTGTTGATGATTCCTCGAACCAAAATGTATTTATCAGAAGGCTGAGCTCGCGCTAGAACTCGTAATCGAGGCCATACAGCATCCAATTTGGCTTGGCTTATTTTGCCATTTTCACGAATCCTTGAAAGTAAATAAACTATTTAGTTAATTAGTTATTATAAGCGTTAATTAGTTATTATAAATAAAAAAATAAGACCAGAGGGATGCATAACCTAAATTTCTTACCGTTCATTAAATTCTTTTCCTTCAAGTGCTAAAAAGTCGCTACCGGGCTTTAAGATGCCACAAGCAGTTGCTATAGATCTTGCAGTGTTAATATTATCTCCAGTGACCATTCGTACAGTTATTCCAGCTTTTTGACACTTTTCGATTGCAGCTGGCACCTCAGGTCTAACAGGATCTTGAATGCCAATTATAGCAATAATAGTCATCCCAGTACGAATACTTTCTTCATCATCCCAATTCACTGAATCTTTGTAAGAAACCTAAAAATTTTGTTAAATTTGCAAAAATTTTTTGAATTTAATTTTAAAAACGTTAATAGGTTTTATAAACACAAAAAGCACTGTCAACCATTTATCAATTATTTCTTATTATCACATACCTGATTCACAGTAATTTCATTTCCTTGTAATATATAATCTTTATAAGCCAAACCAATAGTGCGTAAACCATCGGAGGCCATAGGTTCAATTATATTTTTGTTGATTTCCTCTTGATCTTTTGTTTCGAAATGTAATACCTTATCATTCGCACCGAGGATATAAGTACACCTAAATCTAATAGAGTTCACTGTGGAAATTATTGCTCAAAAATCGTTTTTTGACTTTTTTTCAATCCCATAAACTATTCAAATTTCAGATAAACAATCATTACAATTGTTTTCATTACTGAAGATTTATTTTTTATGAAAAAATTATAAATTTTTGACTTTATTCGTCTAAAATTCGTCTCTTAGGCAAAAATTTAAAAAAAGAAACCTTGCTAGAATAATTTCTGAAGCCCCTTTTGCATAAACACGAAAACCATCACCGCTGGGTAGCTTAATTACAGTCATCATCGATTTTCTGACCGAATTAAATGTGTAAACCTACAATTAAACCGAGAAGTGTATTAATTAAGACGTTGGGCTTTATAAAAGCAAAACGTTATTTGCGATAAAATTTAAATTTCTTTCATTCGGAATATTGGTGATTAGATAATGAAATAAAATATAAAAAATTCCAATAAGATTTCTAAAACTTCAAAAGAATTTGAATTTTAAGAATTTTAACATTTTTTTCTATATCACTTTTCAAAACCTTTTGTGCGTGAAGTTATGATGGAAACTTTACTAAATGATCGTAAATGTGATGTATTTTTTGTTTATACAAAAAGTTTATTGGAGCGAAGATATGGAAGACCAACTTTTATTAATGTTTCTTCAGGAAATTGTTTTCTTATATCCATATAGTTTCGTCCGAGATCGAGAACGAGTCCAAGAAGTGCACATTCGGTCTTATTTCCTAACTTAAATTGTGAAAATTCTAAATTTAGAGAAATTTCTAGTTTGACTTGTTTTCATTAATCGAGTTTTATTACTCTAGAAAACGACTATTTTTTGCAAAAATAATTAATTCAAAAATAAAATACTGTCATACTTGCGTTCTTGGTTTTCCTTGCTCGCTTGAATCGAAAACTTGTGAGCTATACCCACTATTAATTGAAATTCCTTCAACTAACAAATCCCTAGTGACTTCATTTAGGTCGCCATATTTTGGAATTGTTCCTTTATAAAATGTGCCTATAAAAGCAAGTTATATTTTCAGATTTTAGAGGAAATGATGGGAAAGCACCATCTATAAATAGTTATGAAATAAGTCTATCAAAAAAAGCTGTAGCATTCGAAAATTGTCAATTCAATATGATTAAATGATTAAAAATGATTAATGATCAAATGATTAAATGATTAAAAATGAAATAATGATTAAAAATAAAACGAGAATTTACGCATTCATCCTCGCAAATTTATGCGTAAATCACTTAAATTTTTTTATAATTTATATTTTTATAATTTATTATAGCTTTTTTTATAATTTTTTTAGTTTATTTAAAGTATGAAGTCAAAGCACTTATATTTATTGTTTTGCAACCAGTCAGCACATGGCTTCCTGTCTTCATTGGTTTTCTTGTACAAATAATAAATTTCCTTATATTATAACTGGCTTTTTCTTTACTAAGATGAGCTTCTTTTTTACATTTAAATAAATAACAAGAAAACAATTTTCACAAGAAAATTGACCATTTATGTAAAATTGTACAGCTGTCATACGATTTGTTGTCAAAGTACCGGTTTTATCAGAACAAATCGCAGTTGCATTGCCCATTGTTTCGCATGCATCCAAATGTCGCACCAAATTGTTATCTTTCATCATCTGAAATTTAGAGTTTCAATTTTTATCGTTGCATTACTTCTGATGGCAGAAAATTAAAAATGTGATGTAAAAAACTTTAACCTTTTTGACAGAATAAGTAAGTGCAAGAGTAATCGCAAGTGGAAGACCTTCAGGCACTGCTATGACCAATACTGTTACACCAACAATTATAAAATTTACAAAATAAGTTATGTCTGATGTTTGAAAGCTTTCATGCTTTATTACGTAACGTGTTATACAATAACGAACGATTAAAATAATAACAGTCGCGCCAGCAACTATGAAACCTAAAATTAAATATTATTGTCAAGGAGATTAAACAAGTTTCAGTTTTTATCTACCTAATTAAATGGATTAAATATAGAAACACCTGAAAAAATAAGATAATTAATTTATAATTTTTAATTTTCTGAAGTAAAACGGAACCAACGTGAATCATTGCCACAATGTCGCAGATAGGACGATTAAATGAAATTAATTAAATAATACGCGGATTAATTAAAATTAGTAAACTAATTTTTTAATTTGGTAAGATATGATAAGATGTCATTTATCCTGAAGGAATATTTTGTTTATGGAAAACTGTATATAATATGCTCATGTTATATTCTGTGCTGGGTTTAGTGTCTATCTTTTGCTTAAATCTTCTCATTAAAAGCAAAATATTTCTATCCTAGAATGATTATCGGCGAAACAGTACCATCCCAGTAGTTAGGGAGAAACAACCAAACCAGAAATTTTGACTGGATTAAGAGGAAAAAGAATAATATACCCATGTATCCAATCTGGATTGCCAAAGCTGAGAGTTTTCCTTGTAAAACTGATTTTGATATTTTTTCATCAATATCAATTGAATCAGCTGATAATTTTTGATGTTTTCCTTCTATTCCGAACCCTCCTGAAATTATTTTTGATTAATTTTTGATATTAGATATTATTATATTTATTCTTAGATATTATTAGATACTTAGATATTATTCAATCACAGTGTAGATTTATATCTCACCATTGATTTGATTCTGTGGAACGATCGAATTCGAACTTTTTTTATTATTTTCATTTTTAGTGGCTCCTAATAATGCCATTATAATACCCGTTTGTGAATTTATTCCAACTGCTGTAATTAGCATTCTACCGCTTCCTTCCATCGCATGAGTGCCTATAAAATATTGTCGATATCCATAAAACAAGCTAAATTGAACTATAACTGTGGGCTATATTTTCAGATTTTGTAATCATCATTGAATTAGAACCTGATAGAAGGACTGGGTCTGTTTCTGGTGTCTTTTTTATTAAATCCGATTCACCCGTCAAAGAAGATTCATCAATTTTTAAATCATTACTCTGAATTAATATTCCATCAGCTGGTAATAAATCGCCTAAATTATTTGAAAATTAAATTTTTCCTCCTGGAAACATAAAACAAATGAAATGGATCGATTTAACTGTTGACGAAGAGAAGGCAGGAGATTCTTCAAATATCATTTTCTTGGCGATTTTTTCTCTATAAATATTAAATTGTATAAAATTTAAGAAAAACCATATTTTATTCGAGCAATATCGCCAACAACGAGCTCATTGACAACAATATCAACTGCTTGACCACCTCGAATTACCGATAATTTATGTTCCGTTTCGATTTTCGACTGTAAACCTAAATTCATATTAAAAGTTATTTTTCGAAAATATATAAAATAAATCTTTCGAAAGCTTTTATATATATATATATATATATATATATAAAAGCTTTATATAAATTATACATATGTATATATATATATATATAAAATTATTCATTTAAATTACATATATATATAATTTATAAATATATAAATTTGTGTGTTAAAAATATTTATAAAGGAGTAATAAATATATACGTAAATATATGAAAAATTTTTTTCTCACTCCCCGCGGGTGGCCTTGATGGTCCTCAACCTCGAGTTCTCTACTAGAGGCCTGGGAGATTGAAGATGGTGCGCAATATCTTAGCTATTCCTAATAATGGACTTTTCCGGATGTTATCTCTGATGTGATTCCTAGAATCTACTGAAACCATTTTTCTAGTTTAAGGCTCATAGCTCCGAGTGCTCCAGTCACTTTGGTCTTTACTTTCCACATCTTTTCAGTTCATTTTTCAACCATTAGTATTTCTCATATTCCTTCTTTATAAGGTTCCCGTCACTTGCTACTGCTATATCTATCAACATAGTGCTAATTTTTTGCCTACTACCACGATATCTGGTTGACTGGCTAGTGCTTGTTTGGCTTTCTGGATAGATAAATTCTTTTATTAGGACTTCTACAGGATCTTTACCTTATTATTCTCTGCGGTTTTCTGAGGAATTTCTCATTTAGCATTGGGAGGATTATCATCAAGTAGATAGCCAGCTACTTTGATTATCCTTTTTAGTGTTGTTTCATTTTTCTGCTTTCATTTTACGTCCTGCCACTATATATTGAACTATTTCTGGGGTATATCTTTTACATAATATATGCCGAAAATCCTATCTAATGTGGTAGATTCTTGTTTCGATGGATCTAATGCTTACTGTTTGCTCCTGTGCTGCTATAATCAATGTCGCATGGTTCCCTTTTAGTCTGGCTTTCTCCAACCACTGATAGGATTTTATAGTGCCAACAGACATTTTTCCTTCCTTCCTTCATTCCTCAGACATTCTTTCAATTCATCCTTTCACCATATTGCTAATTTCTGAATCATTTTCGTTAAAAATGGCGACTTGTACACTATCAAGCCCTACCCGCCTTTCTTCCAGCCAGTGTATAGCTTTTATGTAATGGATTTGGGATGGAAATTTCCATGCACTACGAGGAGTTTCCTGGAATCAAATCTGTTCGTTCCATCGAGCTGACTCTTCAAGATTTATCTTGCCCTTTGGTGATAATTAGATGCTACAGTCTTCATTGCCTCCTCATTATGGTTATTATGTGATTGTGAGATATCAAGGTACTTGCTAGCGCATTAATATTTTTCTTTTCTTTGCCACTATCTAGCCACATTTTTCTAATCCAAATGACATCCAATGTCCTCGCTATATAGCCGAATTAGATGGGTAAGTGAATCAATATCTCGTCACTTTTTAACTTGATGTTATCCATGTACAGAAGAGGGCTGATGGTTCTTCTTAAATTTGCATTCATATCCGTTTCTGGTGATTATTTGACTGAGGAAGTCTAGACATGGAGCAACTGAGGAAACAGTGCATCACTTTGGTATATATTTCATAGGTACTTGTACAAGCTGTTGCGAATTGATTTCAAGTACCAGAGTCTGTTGATTTTAGAGGCTTTTCTCAGTCCAAGCTGCAAAAATTAGTCTGCCAGGAGTCTTAGAACGACTTATCTATGAGTTGATATTTGGAACCTCTTATGTTCCCTTTTTAAACTATATCTATATTTATATATTGGCTCATATGGCCTTGAAGCTTGATGGATATAATGCCTGACAGGACCTTTCATATTGTTGGCTGTATACTGGGCTGTATACTGGCTCATATGGCCTTGAAGCTTGATGGCCTGACAGGACCTTTCATATTGTTGGTAAGCAGGTTATTGGTCGGCACATATATATATATATATATTAAATATAAACATATATAAAAATAATGTATATGTATATATGTATAAAATATATATGTATAAAAAACTTTTCTCTCACTCCCTGTGGGTGGTCATGATCAGCTTCAACCTCAGGTCCACTAGAGGTCTTGTCTGAGATTTCTTAATATCTTTAAGAATCGCAGTTCCAAGTGCTCCAATTATCACTGGGATCCCTTTGGATTATACATATTTATATGATTAATATATTTAATAAAGAATTCATTTTAGAATATTTCCGATATATATTTCCGATAATTAAATTGAAGAAAAATTTTTTTTTAGTATTTAATTTTATTTATTTATTATTCATCAAATCTATCCAATAATGTATAATATATTTATCAAAAATCTTTCCAATTATCCAATAAATCGAAATGAAAATTAGTCTATCTTCTATCTTTAATTTTTTTTTAATTTTTTATAATTTCTATTAAAAAAATTCAAAAAAGAAGATTCGATAAATTTTTTTGTATTTGACTTAATATTACAATAACATCTTAACAACAAAAAAGTGCATTAATTATAAAGGAAAGTATTATATATACCTCGGAACTGTTTCTCCTTACTCCAGTCATTCAGAGCAGTTACAAGCACAACAACAATAACAGCAACAAGTATAGCTGCACCCTCAATCCAGCCGGCTTCTTTTTCACCACTTTCATGCTCTGAATATTTGTTGTGAAGTTTAAAAAAATAAGTTTAACAATTTTTCATCTTCATAAGTAACTAACACAGAAACAGTACAACAATTGAACTTTTTTCATTTTTTTAGCTCATGTTCTCACAAATTTTACTCAACTTTTTCACTTTATGCGCTAAAAATGAGGCACCTTATTGGAAAAATAAATAAACTTAACTGACTTGAACTCACATCTTCCGGAGGTTCATAAAATGATAATCCTAGTGAAACAAGTGCGGAAATCAGTAAGATTACAAGAGTTATGTCCTGGAATTTCAACCTGTATCTTAGTTTAAATTTTCTTTGGAATAAAATAAAGTTGATATAAATTTTTATATAAGATTAAGCAGAAAAAGCACCTAAATTTCCATCTTTTGGAATACAATATGAAATCTCAAGCAAATTGAGTGGATCAAAAATTAAATTCCCTAAGAAAAAATTTTCTGGCAGATTTAAAAGAGTTTTCGATTATACTACAATGCTCTGTCCATTTCAGAACTATTTTCTAAATTTTCCGAAGGTTATATATTCAATTTCAATTTCATCTCTTCTAGTTATAATATATTTTTTCTTCCATTCAACAACCTGTAATGCTTCCCAAGCGAGACGAAGAAACGTTTTTGATGGTGCTGGTGGTATTTCATTTTTACCAAAAACCTTTCGCCTCCTTTCCAGTTTTTGTCGATCATTAGGAAGGCCATTTATAGGGTCACTTAATAATTTTTTGCATAATCCTTCAATACTACCATATTTTGAATTGATCTAGAAATTTAACAATCAATGATTCACAATAATTTTTCCTTTTCCAAATCTAGAAATTTTGATTTTACACTTTGACATGACATAAGTCATGGAATGGAAACTTTCTATATATCAGTAAGCAAATAAATTGAAAGAATTAATTAATTATTTATTCGGACTAAAATTCTATCGATAGATGAAAATTTAATGCGGAAAACATTGTTTTAAGATCGATTTTAATTTGATGCGACAAAAAGAACATATTTTCAAATACTTAAATATTTAGGTAAGGCAAGAAAAAAGTAGTGAATAAACCTTCTCAACGGCTTCAATGCCGCGTAATTCCATGAGGGCTCGTAATTCAGGCAAATCACACCCATAATTTTCATTAGATGTCATTTTTTCTGGACAATAAATTGCTTGTAAAAAAATTTAGGAAATCAAAAAATATTTAAAAATTTTCATGAAAAATAAAAAAACATTCGCGTTTCTCACTTTAAAACGATATTATATAAGATTTCGTCAATATTCACCTGAAAAATAAAAAAAAATTATAGATTCTCATCAATTAATTAGTTTAAATTGAATCGTACGACAAAAGAATTTAAAAAAAAATTTGGTTCAATCGAATCATTTTGAAGAAAATTGAAAAAAAAATTTTCGACAAATACAAATAACTACAAATTAAATATTCGATAAGAGAAACAAAACGAAAAGAACTGTGCCATCGAAATTGTTCGAAAAAAGTAACATTTTTCAAGTTATCGACGACTATTTGCGCAGTGTCAACTCTCATTGATATTAGTGATAGAAAGGAAAATAAAAATTAAAAAAATAAAAATATTGTAGAGGTACACTGCTAGCTCTGGAATTTCCAATAGGTACAGCGTTGCAAGAGCGTGCGTGAAGATGTTAACTATCGTGGACTTGCAAACTTCACGGCACTCTGGAACGATATGATCTTGAATATGGAGGAGTCAGCTCGAATTATCGAAAATTATTCAAAAATGGCCAGTGAAAAAAATTAAGATTAACAAATTAAGACCATCAAAGAAAACGTCTCTCATGATGGAAAGAAATGAAAGTTAATTAGAAGGACCACGCAACATCTCGAACATAATTTGAACACGTTTGGAACCATATGATTGAACCATCAAGCTTGAAGCAACCACAGAATAAATAAATAATAAATCAAAATTTTAAGCAAGCGAAAGGCTTGGAAGATGGTCTGCGAGCTTCAAATGCTGTTCAGTTCTTTATAGCATATCAAAAGTTATTCAATGATGGAGCAAATATCACGCGACTGAAACAGATCAATTCAACAGTTCTTCTCTTAATTCTCGAGTGTTAAGAAATGTGACAGGATGCGTTGCGACAAATGTCGAGGTATTTCGAGGCATTTCTCGGAAAATTTTTGCCTGTTCTCCACTCAGGAAACTCATAGCAGTGACTAAATGTGTTCTAAGTAGGATTTAAGTCAGTCAGGGCATTGATAGGATAGCCAAATTTTCATGTTTAGAACAGTATTGCACCATCGCCTCAAATATGCTTCATTGACCTTGCAGCTTTCGATTTTATTAGGACTACCCTCTGGCAGAACAATACGACTGGAATGTTAAGGAAAAGATAATCAGACTTATTAAACCATTTTATGCCTCTATCTGGCTGTTGTATATACGATTCATTTTTACGGCTACAAAATATGAGCACTAAGAGCGGAGCCGAAGAAAGAGACTTTTTATTTTTGACCATGGGTTTGTTGTACTCGCCAAGGAAACAGAGTCATATAAAATTTGCATTAGGAACAAAGCGTCGCCTGCATAGATTAGCTATGTTCTTCGCTTTCCATAAATACGGAATATCCATATTTGCTAAACGCTTTGATGGATAGCGTTGAAAATAAGGAAAGGGTTGATGTGGTCAAGGTTTTGAAGACAAAAACGGCCCAGTAATAGACATAGAAAAAGTAGTTTTTGAATAGTTCAGGAATAGCACCCAGGTCCGGAAACCTGGATATGTTACCGTAATCGTCAATGGGAGTGAGCCAATTATGGAGCGAATTACTGGGAGAAGAATAAATAGAGACTGCAAACTGTAGAAGGAAAAGAAAGCAAAAGGGAATAATAGCAAGTTAGAGGAAGCTCGTAGTCATCTAATTTCAATAATTCTATCTTATTTGCATTTTCAATTTCGAGTCAAACGTTTTAAACTAAATATTTTCTTATTTAAATAGGCGCATTTGTTGAAAAAAAGTGAAATAAGAATAATTAAACAATTAAAAACCATAAAATATTGCATAAAATTAATCCAAGAATAAATTTCCTGCAAAGATTTTTAAGGATTTCAAAATTTATGCCTTATTGGCAATATTTAATATTTAATATTTAATATTGAAATATTGAAACATATTGTTGATTTCGCTCAAACCAGATATGATAATTATTATAGTGATAAAGAAATAAATTTAAGAAAATGACACGAATCGAGATGAAAATTTTAAAATATTTCAATTTTATATTGCGTTTATTTATAAAAATTAATGTAAATCAACTGCAAGATTCTTAAAATTTAAAATTTGAAGAAAAAGAACGAAAAAAGAACGAAATTTCAAATTAATTCGTTCAGATCGTTTTAGCATTTTGTTTCTTTAACGAAGATTTTGTAAATATTTTAAAATTATTTATTAAATCCAACGAATCATTTGAGTGAATTTATTCTTAATGAATTTAATAATTTAATATGCCTTATTATGAATTTTTCGATCCGAAAATTATTGAAAAAAATGGTTAAAATAAATTTAAATCGTGGAATTTCTAATGTTTTATTCCAATTTTATCATTAATCACTGATAGCGAGCAACATTTTAAATTTTTTTAATTTTTTATTCATCATTTTAAATATAAAAAATCTTTAAATCTCAAAAAAACAAATCTTTCAGAGATCCTTGTTAGCTAACTTAGAACCATTTAATTATTTAATTATAATTCCAAAATTCCTCAGAAAAATTTTGTGTGCAATCAATTACAACTAATTTAACGAAACAAATATTTTTTAATCATCACATGATGGAAAGGAATGTGTTATACGTTATACTTTATGGTTTATAAAATATAAAATGAGTTATCATTGTTTATTACTTATTATCGTTAATTTTTATTATTGTCGCCTTATCATTGTTTAAGCGTAATGGGAAAAAAGGAAATGTATGGAAAAAAAATTCAAACAAATCCAAACAAAGAAATAAATAAACAAAGATAAATCATAGATAACTGGAAAAAAAATAAATAACTTTTCAGAATTTTAACAATAGAAAAAACGGGGAGAAAAATTTAAAAGATTTATCGTAACTTTTTCTGCAAATAATGCTTTAGAAACTAATAATTGATCAAATCCATTTAATAAATGCAAATAGAAAATTTAAAAAAATGAAGCCAACTTATCGGAAAATTGCCTCATTTTAAAAAACTTTTAACTGATAACTTTCCATATTGATTACTTAAAAGCATTTGAAATAATTTTTAAAATGCTATGCAATAAAAGAAATAAAACAGTGGCAATTGCACGTAATTCAGAAAAGAATTTTGAAAAATGTTGTATGTTAAAAATGTAAAGCAGTTGCGAATAAAATAATCCAAGGTTTTTTAGAGCTTTTACGATTCTAATTATTTGCTACTGCTATATCTATCAACATAGTGCTAATTTTTTGCCTACTACCACGATATCTCGTTGACTGGCTAGTGCTTGTTTGGCTTTCTGGATAGATAAATTCTTTTATTAGGACTTCTACAGGATCTTTACCTTATTATTCTCTGCGGTTTTCTGAGGAATTTCTCATTTAGCATTGGGAGGATCATCATCAAGTAGATAGCCAGCTACTTTGATTATCCTTTTTAGTGTTGTTTCATTTTTCTGCTTTCATTTTACGTCCTGCCACTATATATTGAACTATTTCTGGGGTATATCTTTTACATAATATATGCCGAAAATCCTATCTAATGTGGTAGATTCTTGTTTCGATGGATCTAATGCTTACTGTTTGCTCCTGTGCTGCTATAATCAATGTCGCATGGTTCCCTTTTAGTCTGGCTTTCTCCAACCACTGATAGGATTTTAAAAAAAAAAATGTTTTAAAAAATTGTTTTAAAAAAATGTTTTTGACGAAACTTTTTCATCAATTAAATCAAAATTCATTAAATAAACGTAGAACGAATGAAAATAAAAGTAAAAATAGTAAAAAAAAATTAAAACGGTTATTAGTTGAAACGATAATTTTCAACCGCTTTTTTTCTAGAAGAACACTGAATCACTGCACTTCCTTCGAAGAATTATGACCAATCATCAAATTTTTATCATTTCTTTTTTGTTTAACAAAGTTCATTCAGCAAAATGCTAAAAAAAATAATGTAAATTTAAATTTAAACTAAAAAAATTGCTTTTCTTGATGTAAACTTAAAAAATATGAAAAACTTCATCGTTCATCATTTTAGTTAACAATTTCAGCAAAAAACGTTTAAACAATTTCCTTGTAAGCGTATCGACTAAAATTTTAATTCATAGAAAAAAATTTCTCGTAAATTCAAAAAAACGCAAAAAAATTCTTATAGACTGAGCTATTTTTGAAGAATAAAGAGAAAAACAAGAAAAACGATTATCCATAAAAGACAAAACGAAAAATATGAAAGTATTATTGGAAAATTGGAACTTTGACTTGTATTTTATTAAAATGTTTTTGGCTCAACTTTACTGAGTAATTGATAAATTTAAATGAAGAAATAATATTTAATTTCAATTTTTAAAATAAATTCTGCAATATTAATCATATTTCGTTAATTTATAATAAAAAATAAAGAAAAGATAAATTAAAAAATACTTATTTTTATAAGAATCAGAAAATATTTTATTTTCATCTATTTTTCTAATAAAACACCATTTTCCAGAAAAATTTTAAATTTTTTAGGAACGAAAACGTTGACCGTTAGAATTCAAAAAAAAAACGAATTAAAACAAATAATAGTACGATTGAATTATAAAAGTTATTATTGTAAAAAAAGAATAAATCAATGAAATTAAATATTACAGAAAAATTTTTTCTTCGAATAACTTCGGCATATTCAAAAAATCTTTTTAAAAAATCGCTTCAAAATGGAAAGAAATTTTAGGAAACTGAAATAATAATTTCTCATTTATGAATTATATTCAAAAGCAAAATCCATTTAATGAACACAAAATTTTAAAAATAAATTCAATAATGTTATGATTTTCCTTTTTTTACACGAAATAAATTTTTTATTCTTATTATTTATTCTTTCATAAATAAATTTTTTGTTTGCAATTAAAATTCTAATGTCCATTTTTGAAGAACTCTACTATTCATAACCGTCCTTACTTATGAAAAAATT